TGTGAAAAAAAGTAGAAATAATATTGAATTTTTATTGAAAAGGTAAGCATAAACAGAATATATAAAAATTACAAATGTTTGTGAGTAAAACATGTATTTTCTACAATTGAAACTATTTCTAAAAATTTAAAATAACTCTTAAGTCCTCAGATTTGTTGAAAAATAAGTGTAAAAAATATTTATACCATGCGTTTTATTTCTAGAATTGTTAGGATTACGTTCTGAAATGAATAAAATTAATTTTTATATTTTTTTTTGTGTAATGAATTAAAATTACTGTAATCTTATTACACAAATGTAAAGAACGTGGGTAGCGTAAGAAGTGGCAACATTGCACAGCCTCGATATACGTTATGTCAAGAAAATTTAAGAACAAGAGTCTGCGGCTCTCAAAAAGTTTTTTAAAATTCCCAGAAAAAAATCGAAAAAAATCAGTTTTATGTATTTTTTTTTATTAAATGGCGTTTAGGGGTCGACCTGATAGAAATAAAGAACAATTATCTCTTTAAAAGCTACCTTGATGCCGTTTTTTTAACCGAATGATATTTTTTATATTACTGGAACTCTAATGTGACTTCAATACCTACTATGGCAGTTTTTTTATTCTATTAAGGGGTGGATTAACCCTGAACGTGTTTTAAGAAACATGCTTGTCATTTTTGACAATTTAGTTAAAAGACAAGAGTAGAAAAATATGGGAAACTTAATAAAACACTGATTGACCCTAAAATATTTTAATTAAAGCATTTTTTCTTAGGGGTATATTAATGTATATTTTATTTAAATCATTCTAGGTCTAGGTACTTAAAAATAAATATATTTCTTGTCTTTTTACTTGAGATTTGTGCAATCTATTAGGTAAAAAAAATATTTACAAGATATTTTTTAAAAAATATATCACTGTGCATTAATTCCAGCTTTTTCGTGAAATTCTTCATCATTAATAACCACGAAATCTTTGAGTAATAATTCTTCGTCTTCTATCATTCCCATATCTTTCAAAGCCTTTTCTAAGACATGTTCTTTACAGCCTCCAGCTGCCACAATTATGTCCAAAAGATCTTCCAAAATATTTTTTTCATCCTGTATAAAATTATTTTAAAATTTAAAATAAAAGAAAAACATTTTATTTCGAGTTTACCTCTAACTGTTTGAGTCCCTTATCAATGATTTCTACTGAGGGATGTTCTGAGGACAGATCTTTAATGAGCAAAGATATATCCGCCACTACGAATGCCATAGATAAAATTCCTGATATTTTGGCGAAGTCCTTCATTAAAGTTGGTATAGTTCTCCCTTAAAAAATGTAAATTTTAGATTAACTCCTTAAGATTATAAAGGGTGTTTCTTAAAGAAGTGCAAATATTTTAACTTGTAATGTAATAAATGCCGATTTTAGTTTTTATTTTGTACTTTGTACTAAATTTTTTAGAACCATAGGTTCATTTGAAATTTTTTCAACTTGTATTATTTTACACGTAAAAATAGTTTTTTTACGCCAAGAACTTTTACCCACCCATCCCTGATAATTTCAAAAAACTGACATAATTTAGCCCTACTCATTTCTATATTTTACAGTTTCAAAAAAAAGTTTACGTAAAACGTGAAATATAATATTTTCATCTTATTATTTTACACGTAAAAATAGTTTTTTACGCCAAGAACTTTTACCCACCCATCCCTGATAAATTCAAAAAACTGACATAATATAGCCCTACTCATTTTTTATATTTTATAGTTTCAAAAAAAGTTTAGGCAAAATATGAAATATAATTTTTTCATCTTACTATTTTACAGGTAAAAAATAGTTTTTTACGCCAAGAACTTTTACCCACCCATGCCTGATAAATTCAAAAAACTGACATAATATAGCCCTACTCATTTTTTATATTATATTTTACAGTGTTTCAAAAAAAAGTTTAGGCAAAACATGAAATATAATTTTTTCATCTTATTATTTTACACGTAAAAAATAGTTTTTTACGCCAAGAACTTTTACCCAGCCATCCCTGATAAATTCAAAAAACTGACATAATATAGCCCCACTCATTTTTTATATTTTACAGAGTTTCAAAAAAAAGTTTGGGCAAAACATGAAATATATTTTTTTCATCTTATTATTTTACACGTAAAAAATAGTTTTTTACGCCAAGAACTTTTACCCAGCCATCCCTGATAAATTCAAAAAACTGACATAATATAGCCCTACTCATTTTTTATATTTTACAGTGTTTCAAAAAAAAGTTTAGGCAAAACATGAAATATAATTTTTTCATCTTATTATTTTACACGTAAAAAATAGTTTTTTACGCCAAGAACTTTTACCCACCCATCCCTGATAAATTCAATTAAAAAACTGACATAATATAGCCCTACTCATTTTTTATATTTTACAGTGTTTCAAGAAAAAGTTTAGGCAAAACATGAAATATAATTTTTTCATCTCACTATTTTACACGTAAAAAATAGTTTTTTACGTCAAGAACTTTTACCCACCCATCCCTAATAAATTCAAAAAACTGACATAATATAGCCCTATTCATTTTTTATATTTTACAGAGTTTCAAAAAAAGTATAGGCAAAACATGAAATATCATTTTTTCATCTTACTATTTTACACGTGAAAAATAGTTTTTTACGTCAAGAACTTTTACCCACCCATCCCTGATAAATTCAAAAAACTGACATAATATGGCCCTACTCATTTTTTATATTTTACAGTGTTTCAAAAAAAAGTTGAGGCAAAACATGAAATATAATTTTTTCATCTTATTATTTTACACGTATTATCTTTATATTTTACAGTGTTTCAAAAAAAAGTTTAGGCAAAACATGAAATATAATTTTTTCATCTTACTATTTTACACGTAAAAATAGTTTTTTACGCCAAGAACTTTTACCCACCCATCCCTGATAAATTCAAAAAACTGACATAATATAGCCCTACTCATTTTTTATATTTTACAGAGTGTTTCAAAAAAAAAATTTAGGCAAAACATGAAATATAATTTTTTCAACTTAACTATTTTACATGTAAAAAATAGATTTTTACGTCAAGAACTTTTACCCACAATTTTAATATAATTTTTTATAATATAAGGTTTTAATATAACCCTACTTATTTTTTATTTGAAGCCTGTTTTTTGTATTTTACAGAGTGTTTCAAAAAAAAGGTTAGCAAAAATATGAAATATATTTTTTCAAAATTATTAAAAAAAGAAAAACTTAGGATTCTGTGTATTGTCAGTTGCATACACAAATTTTTCATTACCTGTCAGCACTAGTTAACATAACATTATTATTTAGTTTAAAGCTGTGTATACCTGTTAATCCCAGCACATTGTAAACAAACTGAAAACTCTTCTCAGTTATATGGAAAGTCTTGCCTAAAACAGGCAAAGTACCAATGGCAATATGTTCTAAATGATGCAATTTTGCGGCAGTACTCAACGTAGTTAAAACTGCATTAGTTGGTTTTTCTAAAATGTTTATAGCACCTTTTGCTATACCTAAAAAATATTTTGTT